GGGGGAGCTCTGGGTGCAGGCCCTGGAAGGGGAGAGGGGAGCTGGGGGGTTGTGAGGGGAGGGTGCACTGAAGGAACATCCCCGGGGCCTAAATATCAGAGCTTTGGGTGAGAGGGCGACAGATGATTTTATAGACTTCTATCCTATCCCCCCTTAGTCAAACTGAAAAGCCCCCATCTTATTAATCTCTTCTCATATGGCAACTGTTCCATTCTCCTAATAATTTTTGTTGCCCTTTCCTGAACAGGCTGTGCCAGTGCACCTAGGCCTTTGTCCCTGGCTGTTGCAGTGTGGAATGCAAACAGATTGCATTAAGGCTCTGTATTGGATCTTGTTATGAACATAAGATCCATCTATGCCTCTTATACAGCTCTGAATGGTCCTGAACAAGGGAATTTGCTGGACCAGAGGCAGTCAGGCCTCCGGAGTTCCCCTACTGGCCTGCCAGCTCTGGTCAGCGCTCTGCCCCTAGCTTTCCTGCCAGGCTTTGTTGCCTCCAATGCGCTGGAGGGGCTCTGACCCTATCTGCCAGCCCTGTGGGTTGCCCACCCCTGGCAGAGCTCCCACAACCTGCTGCTGGCCTGCCAGTGAGGGCTCCTGACTGCCAGCCCCCTAGCGAAGCCACGCTTCTGGTTGACAGCCCACCTGGGGGCTCTGCTGCTTCCCTCCAAGGCTCTGATTGGGCTCCCTGCCCCCAGTGGTGCTCTATTGCCAGCCTGCTGGTGGTGCGCCGGCCCCTCCCAGCCAGTAGCTATGGCTCCCTGCTCCTGGCAGAGCTGCACTGCCAGCTTGTTGGTGGTGCTCCGCTGCTGGCTAGGGCTCCCTGCCTCCAGCGGGCTCTACTTCTGGCCATCACTGGTCCCGCAGCTGCTGGGCTGTTGGCTGGGCTCCCTGCAGGCTGCTGGCCTACCAGACCAACTCCACCCAGTTGCTAGCAACCTCTGTGGCTGGGGCTCTCTGATCCAGGGGCTCACTGGTCTGGCAACATCCATGATCTGGAGAAATTCAACATGTATTGCAAACAATTACACACAAGTCATCACATTGGCTTCAGTGGGATTTAAAGTTAAGGGTCTGTAGAAGGGGTTTGCAGGATTGAGTCCCAAAATATTATCTTGGAAGTTTGGACAGCATGCTCAGCACTGTACTAAACAGAAAGCAAGAGCCCATAGTTGCAGTCTTTTCTTTCAGAACCTTACAGTGCTCTCCTTAAATAATGAGATTATGATTTTATTTCGTCGTGTTAAATTTAATACTCAGAACTTTATTAATTCATGCTAATGGATGGAAGATTCATTGCAAATGACCAAACCAAGTGTGGAACTAATAAAAAGCAAGGAATGCATACAGCACGTTATATTTCTGTCTTGGTAGAAACCTGATTCCCCAGCTGAGATCAGGGACATACTGAACTAAGCACTGTACAAACATGGAATAGAATACAATTCCTGATTCAGAGTTTGTGGTCTAAGGCCCAATCTTCTTACAGTCATTATTCATAGAGAAGATTTTTTTTAAAGATAAGGCAGACAAATAGGAATAGACAGCCAGCTTATTTTATTAGCACTAGGACTTTATGAAGTACTAGTATTAAATCTACCTATCCTAGGTATTACTTAGGTGTGCTTATGTTGTCTGTGTTGAATAAATGTATTGTTATATATTTGGTTTAAAAAAAAAGATAGGGTATCATATTGAGTCTTGATTCAGTCTTGAAGGGAGAGGGTGTTAAATTTAAGCTGATTTGAGAGATTTTCTTTTGTGTACAGAGGGAGGGCTACCCAAAGATATTTTTAGTGTACTTTTTAAAACAAAGTATATACTCAATATATGTTTAAAGAATGGGAACTTAGCTACAGTTGGAGGCAGGATACTGGGCTATATGGATTAAAGGTCTGATCAGGGATGGCAAATCATTTGCCTCTGTTTTTGCTTAGGAAAGTCACTCTTGGTTTTTTTTTTGTTTTTTTTTAAAAAGGCCAATCAAAAATTGGGGTTACCTAAAGTATCTGATAATCCTTTCCTAGCCAGACAGCAGACTCTGACAATTGCTCTTGTTTTAATTTTGCAGCTGTGGGCAAGTCCACGTTTGAAAGGCTTCTCAGTAAAACATTTCCAGAATGGCAAATGGCTACAGAACCTGTGTCAAAATGGCAACAAGTTCTAGCTTCCAATACCAGAGAGGTAAGTGTGAAAGTGAATAACCAGAGTGGGGATGTGTGGGCACTGCAACAAGAGTTTCCATCATCCGGTTATAGGCTTTTCAAAATGTATGTGATTTTAATGGTGCTTGTGAGTCCTGGGCACTTAAATTCTTTCTCTTTCCACAGTGTAGGTATATCACAGGCAGCGACTGGACAGGCTTTACTCATTGTTCTACAGTTGTGTCTCAATCCTTCCCTGTAAAACAGGGTTAAGAAGGGAGTTCAACTATATCAGGTTTAAGTGGCCTCTATTAAAGATGGTTTTCCTCATCCATAAATCTCTTCCATGATTTGATAATTAAAATAGGTGTGCATGTTCTTAAACAGAATGACTCATGGGAGATAAATATTTAACACACACATTCCTATGATCTAGACTATGATTGCAGCAACTTAAATTTCTTAAGAGTTTTAAAAAATAAATTGTTTCTTAATACAGCTAATCTAAACATCCTGTATCCAGAGTACCAATATTTTTTTATTTTGCATGGAGTTCAGCTCTCTAATGGCAAAAGAAATGTTGAACAAAACAACTTGATTCTCATTAAAGATCTGGAAGGAATCTACTAATGCTTTGTACCTCTGTATTCTCTCTGATATTTCTTTTACAGCTCTTACATCTAGGCTACGTCTACACTGGCCCCATAAAACGGAATAGTCATGCAAAGCAGGTAAGTCAGAATAGGGAAATCCACGGGGGATTTAAATATCCCCCGCGGATTTAAATAAACATGTCCGCCGCTCTTTTTCCGGCTTGGGGAAAAGCCGGGAAAAAGCGTCTAGACTGGCGCGATCCTCCGGAATAAAACCCTTTTCCAGAGGATCTCTTATTCCTACTTGAAAGGAATCTTGAAAGTAGGAATAAGAGATCCTCTGGAAAAGGGCTTTATTCCGGAGGATCGTGCCAGTCTAGATGCTTTTTTCCGGCTTTTCCCCAAGCCGGAAAAAAAGCGGCGGACATGTTTATTTAAATCCGCGGGGGATATTTAAATCCCCCGCGGATTTCCCTATTCTGACTTACCTGCTTTGCATGACTATTCCGTTTTATGGGGCCAGTGTAGACGTAGCCCTTTAGTTTTTTATGAGCTTACTGTTGTGGTCTTTTTTTATGATGTACATTGTAGGCCTAATCAACCTCTGCCGACGAGCAATAGTAGCACTTTTCTGTGAAGTACCACAACCCAGCAGGGGACAACGCTTGCTCTCCGTCTTCATGATAAACTCCATGGAGTAATTGGGGTAGGTGGGTAAGGCAAGCATAATTTTTGTCTCCAAATAGTTGACAAGCAGCCATTTGGGATCAAGATCAAGCATGTGCATTAGAGAAAAAAGATTATTGCAGAGTTTTCTGCTGTGTCCAATTCTGGTGTCAATATTTCTTTTAAAAGGACGTTGGAAAAACTGGAGAAGATTCAGTTACACACAAAATTTCAGAACTGGAAGACATGCAGTAAGAGATTTAGGGAGCTTACTCTATTTAGTTGGTCAAGGAGAAGGTTAAGAAGTGTCTTGATTATGGTCTAGAAATTCCTATACAGTGAGTCAAGCTATCAAAGGTGGAATAAGATCCAGTTGCTTGTAGCTGAAGGTATAAAAAACTCAAACTGAAAATAAAAAGTTGCACCTTAACAGTGAAGGTAGCTAACCATTGTAACAATTTAACAAGGTAAATTCCTTATCACTTGAAGTCTTTAAATTGAAGATATCTATAAAATGCTGTAGTTCTATGGCTCTCCTCTTTTCCAGACTACTATATCTCTATCAAGATGTGTCTTGTGTATCCTCAAGTTCCGTCTTACTTAAAAACTACTTGCTTACAAAATTGGACGTAAAATACAAATGTGTCACAGCACACCATTACTGAAAATGTTCTTGCTTTCTTATTTTCACAATATAATTATAAAATCAATTGGAATATAACTATTGTACTTACATTTCACTGCAGAGCATACAGAGGTTATAAATAGGTCATTGTATGAAATTTTAATTTGTACTGATTTTTCTATGTAGACTGTTGTAAAAGTAGGCAACTATCTAGATGAGCTGATGTACCTCCCTGGAAGATCCCTGCGTGCCTACATGGGTATGCGTACCCTTGTTTGAGAATTACTGCTGTAGTTCAGATACAAGTTATTGGGCTCAAATACCATCACTTATATATAAATAGGTCATTGTATGAAATTTTAATTTGTACTGATTTTTCTATGTAGACTGTTGTAAAAGTAGGCAACTATCTAGATGAGCTGATGTACCTCCCTGGAAGATCCCTGCGTGCCTACATGGGTATGCGTACCCTTGTTTGAGAATTACTGCTGTAGTTCAGATACAAGTTATTGGGCTCAAATACCATCACTTATATAATGGTGGGAAATTTCCTGGCCTGTGCAATGCAGGAAAACAGACTAGAGGATGATCATAATTATTCATTCTAATGTTCAAATCTGAGTCTCGTACAAGTTCTACATTGAGAATATCCTACCTCCAACCATAGGGATGGATGGCCTGAAAAACTCTTTCAGTGAAACTTCCTTCTTAAAAGTACCTTTTTGCATTTCTTAAAAGGCCTCGTCTTCTCAGAATGTTGGTAACCTACTTCAAATGGTTTATCAGGAGCCTTCTCGGTGGTCCTATACGTTCCAGACGTTTTCCTGCATGAGTCGACTTAAGGCCCAGCTGGAGCCCCTATCAGAGAAGCTCTTGAAGACCCAGGAGCCAGTGCAGATTTTTGAAAGATCTGTATACAGTGATAGGTACAGTGCTAAAAATCTCCAAACCCCTGTCTGCTCCAGCTAAACTAAGGTGCTTTCTGTTAGTCAGTATGTGTGTAGAAACATGGCAATGCCGTTTAAGTTACAGGTTGAACCTTTCTAGTTCAGTACTCTTGGGACCTGACTGGTGCTGAGCCAAAGAATTTGCTGGACCATAGGACGTCAATATCTTCTAGCAGCATTACCAACAGTTCCACTGCTTACTGGGCTCTTAGAGGACATTTAGGGCTAAATTAGAGTGAAATAAGAGCACAGAACACTGAGAGCCAGAACTGGTGGCTGTAAACAAACTTTATGGGACCACAGGAAACTTGGCCACTCCCATGATAAAGTGGACATCCGGCTAACTAAAATCATGCCCTACCACAGATGTTGCCAGACCAGAGAGTGCCGGACTAGGGGGGGGTTCAACCTGTACCATGCTTCTTTAATAAAAAAAAAAAAGCATGTTTAGTGCCTACCTGATAAATACTGTTTGTTTTCTAGAGGTGAGTTTCTGATACACACCCCTGTAACATCAAGAAACTGATTAGGAAATCCTAACATCGATGTAAACAGGCACTTTTCTGATCCCTTTCACTATAGCATTGGAGTATGTCACAAACATTTCTTATCACAGTACCTCTGCAATGCAGAGAGTATTACCCCTGTTTGATGGTTGGAGAAATTAGTTCTATGCTGCTCTGCATGATGTGTTGTCATTTACAACAGTGTTAAATAAATATTACCATCAAAACAGAAGGGTAAAATTTCATGTGGCCATGCCCCAGTGTAAATGACTGCACAAAGTGCAAGGTATCTGTACTGAACCCAAGGTTGTGGCAGATCTGAGATTGAATCCAGGTCTCCTGAATCCTAGTTAAATGCCTTAACAGGAAGATGATCCTTCCTTAAACTGCTCCAGGTTATGTGTCTTTTAGCATCTACAGGGACAGCAGAAATCAAGCGCACACTCGGGGTGTTGTGTTCTCTCATCACTAGACCAGAATAAAATCCCACTTGCATTTGAATGGGCTCAATTTCTACTGTCAACGTGAACTTGAAACTGATACTTAGAAGAAGAAAATCATGTATGTTACAATAAGTCCAATGGAAATTGGTAGCCTATAAATACATGAGAGAACACATGAGGTGATTGAATTTTCAGAATCAGATTTTTTTTTTTTTTTTCTTGCTTCCAATTTACAAAGCCCTTGATTCAGGGAATGAAAGTAGCCCTGGTCAGTTTCACTCATAGGTATACAGTAGAGTCTCAATTATATGACCTAAACGGGACCGAAGGATGGTCGGATAATCGTAATGTTGGATAATATGGAAAATACCTTGCGGGGTCCAAGATATTTTCCCCGTCAGCTGCAACTCTGCAGACTCTCGGCTGCTTCATGGGGAGCCACGCTGCCCCCGACCTCCCCTATCTCCCCCGGCCAGCTGCGCTGCCCCATGGCTGGGGAGGTCGGGGGCAGCGCGGCTGGCCGGGGGAGATAGGGGAGGGGGGGGTGCCCCATGACCTTCAGGGGGCGGGGGCAGCTGGGCTCCAGCATCCTGCTACATAGCCCTGCTCCCTCGTCCCTCTTCTCTCACCGCTTTGTCTCCGCACTGCCTGGCACCTTCCCTTCCGCGCTCCACTCTGCTGGCTCCACCGCCCACACAATTGCCTTGGGTGGCCACAGGCAGGTCGGATAACATGGAATGTCGGATAAAGGAAGGTTGGATAATTGAGGCTCTACTGTACATGGAACTCTGCCTTAAGGAATCATTCAGGTGAACAATAAAAATGTTTGCGTGATTCATTTAGGTTGAAAAGGTCAAACAAAATGATCTTCCTGACACTTCAAGGGTCATGGGTACATTTATGCCCCAGCCCCATGAGGGCGGGGGCTGTCCCAGCCAGGCTAAAAAGGCCCTCAGCCTATGGGATTCTGCTTAATCAGTTAGCTGATTAAACTAAACGTTTAACTGGTTAACTGATTAAATGGGATTTTACATTCCTACTGGAAGGAGCTTGAGGATATATTTTGTAACTTGTGTCTGATAGTGGGATTTGCAGTGTTTAAACAGATGTTGACTTGAAAAATGGGAATTACAAGATTTTCTGTGCAGTTCTACGAAGTGGAGCATGAGGTATACTGAAAGTGTTTGTTTTCCAAAGAAGTGTCTCCTATGATGTAATGCCTTCCAGGCTATTTGGATTATGGTGGCTAAATAGTCACTTTTTCCAGATTCCTTGGTAAAGTGGATTGGTGGTGAGATAATGAAAAATATCTTATATGCATACTCTGAAAGTGAGGGAAGTGTGAACATTACATGAGAGGAAAACTGTATTTGAATCAAACTGTTTGGGCTGAAACTTGTGAAAGAGGGAAGGAATTTATGGTGTGTGTGTGTGGGGGGGGAGAGAACCCCTGGTGATTTGTTATTTAAAAAAAATTGTGGCTGGCTGTTCTAGTAGCACCTTTGTAGTTCAAGGCTTCCATTGCAGCAGGGGGTCCTGCAGTAGAGGGTTTTCCTTGGGACTACTCCAAAGACTCAACCAAAATTTGTTAATTTGAGGCCATGCTCCAAGATCCATTTCCACTAGGGATGTAAATGGGTAATGCATTAACGGGCTGGAGCAGCCCCTGCCCACAGTGCAACATTACAGGCCAGTTAGCCAGTTAACATTTTAAACAGGATTTTATGTTCCTAATTTCCACAGCTTTTGGCTGCAGGCAGCATGGGAGGGAGTTAACATCTTTTTGGTTCTGTGGATTAAGCTCTTCTAGAAGGGTAAGTTAGTGTATGAAACTAATCATACACAAAATCGTAGGACTGGCATTAGCTATGTTGGTAGGAGAGCATCTCTGACATAGCGATACAATTTGTATCAACCACACAATTAGTCGGTAAGAACCACGGTGTACAACTGCAGCTGGGATGGCTCCAGGAGCCAGCTCAAGCCGGGACTGAGCAGTCCTGGCTCTGGAAGCTGCAGTTCTGCATTTTAAAAGTAGTGAGAGCCATTGGGCTTTTAAAATGCAGAGGTGCAGCATCCTGGACCAGCGCGAACATTGTCATTGCATTGGCAGGGCAGTATAAGCTCCCTCTACTACTGCCTATTCCATCCTTGGTCTATAGGTAAACATGCCCATGTCCTCCAGGGCTGACAGTCCAATATCCTGTTACGGCATTGTTACAACTGCAGTGCCTGGTCTAGAACTAAGACAATTAACAATAGAAGAATCGTTGAATGACTGTTCTACTGTCAAGTATGAAACTGTCCAAACTAGAGATGTGAATGGTTAACTGGTTGCCCACTAAGCATCACCCTTAGTGGATGATGCTTATGGTAACTGGTTAACTGGCGCCCGGCAGCAGCCCCCACAGGCTGGGGGCTGCTCTAGCTGGGCTGGAGCGGTCCCCTCACCTGTGGGACCTGCTTAATCCATTAACAGGTTAAAGTTAACATTTAACTGATTAAATGGGAATTTACATCCCTAGTCTGAACAGCCCATCTCAGCTCTCTTCTCTGGTTACTGAATTGTCTGTTTTAAATCTCTGCTGTTGAAATGACCTCTTGGAGCTTTGCCTTTCTGTGTATCTGTGCAGCACCTGGTACACTGTGGATCCTATTGAAATGCCCTGGAAGCTGTGTAGACGCATAGCTGCCTACTTAGCAATGCATGGGGGCTCAATGAAGTTGCATAAGTCTGGGACCTGCAGCAGGTCGGGGAGAGCTTCTTTGGCCCCATTCTCAATGTACCCTGCCCTCCAACCTGTTGCGAGTGACCCAGCTCTGACTTGCACTTGACACAGCAGGCCTAGCACCTACTTGCTGCTGGCCATGGCAGCCCAGTCCAGCTGGTGACACTGGGCCCGGCCCCGATCTGGCTGCAGAGGCCTGGCCCTGGTGGCCTGGCCTCTGCCTGCATCCCCTATCTGTCTCCAGTCTTGTCCCCAATCTGGCCCTGGTTCCCATCCAGCTCCACCAGGATGGGGAGAGGTGCAGTCCACACCACACCCTGGTGCTGCTGCGAGGTGAGAGATATGCAGGAGTTCTCTTTCCTTGAAGTAGCCTAGGAGCACCCTCCTTCACCCCAAAGCTCTCCAAATCTGACCTAACCCCATAGCCTGTATCCCTATCTGCAGCTCTCACACCCCTGCACTCCAGTCCTGAGACCCTTATCCCTGGCCCCACCCCAGATCACACACCTGCAGCTGGAGCCTTCATACCCTTGTACCCCAACTCTCTGCCTTCTCCCAAGCTACAAACCCCTTGTTCGCACCCCCACCACAGGAATTTTGTTATGTGCACCAATATGGAGGGGATGTGTTGCACATCCCCTCCATATTGGTGCATGTAACAAAATTCATTCCATTCAGGGGTGAGAGAAATTAGAGGGAACACTGTTTATATCACAGTAAAAATGTACTTTGTCATTCTAAAACTACAGGGAGTTTGTTTGGCAGGTTTAATTTACTCGGTATTCTCTTTTTGTTCTCTTTTTTCCTTAGGTATATCTTTGCTAAGAATCAATTTGAGATTGGTTACCTGGCTGAAATTGAATGGACAATTTACCAAGACTGGCACACCTTCCTCCTTGAAGAGTTTGGGGACCGAATTGCTCTGCATGGCTTTCTGTATCTCCAGGCAACTCCAGAGGTAACTGAGAGCGTGACTGGGAACTAACTAAAACCATCTTTAGTGGCTGCATTAAGGGTGGTCTTGCTTTTCTTGAGGCAAGGGAACTCTAGACCGTATCAGATCAGCAACTGACTAGGACTGAAGACCAATACATCTAATGACAGGGATTGAGGTCCCAGCATGCAAGGCACTATACATCTCTGAAGAGCTTAGGCTAAGCAGACAAGACAAAGGGGAGGGAGGGGAAAGAGGTGAAATTACTTGCCTGAACTTACATAACCGATCAGTAGCAGAACCAGGTATAGAACCCAAGTCTCCTAAGTGCTAATCCAAGGATCTGTGAACTGGACCACGTCTCTTCAATGAGGGTCATTTTGTCTAAGCATTTATTCTGTAATAGAGGAAAAATTAGTTCCCTCTGTAATGTAATGCTGCTGACTGTGCAGCCTTAATTCCAAGCAGCTACTTGTTGGTCTTGTTTTTGGGCTTAGCTTCAATATATGGGAAACTTTTTGGAGGAGTGGGGAACTATGATTGTGTTTATGCATGCATGACTTCTCGGTGCATCATGTTGACTCTTTCTCTAGCTGAGGGTGGTTGGATTCAACTTCTTGCAGAGCTTTCTGTCTACACTGACACAAGTTGCTGCCCTTCCAAGTATCGGGCCCAGTTGTACTCGTAGTGAAGTTTTGCCCATGATTTCAGTGGATGAAAGATCATGTCCTTACATGCCCACTAAACGTCTGGCCTTAGACAGGTGATGTGGCTACTAACTTGTGTGTCATGTGAAGCTGTTCCTACTTTGTGTAACTGTGATCCAAAGAAAATGGAGAGAGGCTGTTCTCAGTGGTGACAGATGACAGAATGAGGAGCAGTGGTCTCAAGTTACCGGGGGAGGGAGGTCTGTTTTGGTTATTAGCAGGGCTCGCCGAACCGCGGCAAGCCCTGCTCGCCAGCCGCACTGTCCAGCGATCTGCCCACATGCAGATCGTTCTGCGCATGCACAGATCACCCAAACCTGGCTCTTCTGGGTTATAATCTACTTGCCACTGGCAAGTAGATTGTATTATTTGTCGAGCCCTGGTTATTAGAAAAAAAAACTATTTCACTAGAAGAGTGGGGATGCACTGGAATGGGTTACCTGGGGGGGAGGGGTGGAATTTCCATCCCTAGAGGTTTTAAGTCCTGGCTTGACAAAGATCTGGCTGTGATGATTTAATTGGGGTTGGTCCTGCTTTGGGCAGGGGGTTGGACTTGATGACTCCTGAGGTCTCTTCCAACCCTATGGTTCCAACTGCATCTCTCCAGTTGCTGTTGTCTGAAGTGTCCTATAACTCTTGGCCCATCCAAATGCAAAACAGACCTCATTGAGACTTATGGGGTAAATTAGTGGGTCATACTAATGAAGGAGCTGTCATTTTCTCTCATCAGAAATGTCTAGAGCGGTTGCGCCAACGGGGGAGGCCTGAGGAGAAGGACATCCAGCTGGAGTATCTGGAGCAGCTTCACACTCAGCATGAAAACTGGCTTGTAAAGAAAACCACAGAGTAAGTGACAATAGAAATGGCTTCTAGATTCTCAGCCGTGCAAGCCTAGCTCCTTAAATGGTTGAATAATATGTCCTCTGCTGTGCAAGAGTGGCTGTCTGCCACCCTTCATCTCTTGCTTAGTCCTCCCACTACACAGCCAGCTTTCTGCCATTAATCTTAACACTGAACGCCATCTTCTAAGAACATGTCAGCAATCTCCTCCCTTTCAGCAGTAGGTTCCCCTTTGTTACTTTTGCTTCTCTCCATCTTGGCAAATCCTGTAACTCCAGATACCAAAAGGGTATAACAAAATTCATGATGGGTCTCAGAAGAGGAAGGAAGCTCATCTACTTCATAAAAATCTAAGGTGATCCCTTCCTTTCCATACTCTCTTACCTTGGTTTCACATGTATAATGTGCTGGTAGTCTACTGACCCTTGTAGTCCAAACACAGTGTAGGTATCATGCTTCATAGCAAGTAGAGGGCTCTGCTGTCTTAGGCACTGATACCAGTGGGAGTAGAGGGTTCCAGGAATCTCTCAGCATAAAGACCTTAGCTTGGAAATCTCCTTTGATAGGGAAGGAGGGAAGGGACGACTTCTCTGCAGCTGGAGGAATCTTTTATTTTCTTTTAATGATGGTGAATTTGTATATGCAGCATATATCCTTCTTATGATAAAATAAACTTTTGTTGCAGCAGTGTTGGTGTGATACATCTCTTCCTGTATCTGGGCATATTGTCTCTGTACCTCTGGGAAGAGGTACACTAATAAGATGATTGTTCAGATCCCTTCTTGCTGGTTTTTTTTTTTTTGTTTTTTTTTGTTTTTTTTCAGGGTCCACTTTGAAAACCTAAAGAATGCTCCTGTCTTGGTGCTTGATGTCAATAGTGATTTTGAAGATGACCCAGCTGAACAAGAAGAACTCATTAGGAAGGTAAGCATTAATGACACCAGCTCATTTTTGCTATTAACGTAAAATACAGAATTAGACATATGTGGGACAGGAATATTTTCTTTCTCTTTTGCATGTCTTTCTCCTTCTAATAGAACACCACATAACAGATTACTATCAGCTTGGCCTGTCTCTTCAGCAATACCATCTTATGTTCTGATCCCATTCAATCCCACAAGCTAATCAGTCAGGTGTGATCAGCAATTGGACAAAGACTTCCAGGTGCTGCATGAAGTAGGTGACATGCTTCACTGTATGCTAGCTACTGTCTCCAGCATCCAGACTGGGTATTAAGAGATGCTGTGCTGCTACAGATGATGACTTATAGTCAGGCCTTTAGTTTTATGTCTTATCTATGACCCTAAAGATCTCCCAGCATTTCTTGAAAGGCATACTTTTTCTCCTGTTGACCAAATGGTGATATCCTATCTGTGTAAATTCCCCCTGAAGTTGCTATTGAATAAGATTTTCCAGTTTTCTACCCTAAACTGTAGCATTTTTGTATTCTGCATTTCAATACTGTATAAAAATTATCCCTCTGAATAGATTTTAAAACTTCAGACTCCTCAAGAATGAGAAGTGCTATATAAATAGAAGATGACTATTACGCCTCTGATCAGTGAAAATACAGCATGAATTCTACCATAGTGAAGTCGATAGTGGGGGCTTATTTGTTTAAGAGTAGGATGTTTGTCCATTTTTATTACTATTTATATTGTGGCAGGTGTCTAGGAACCACAATTGTGGACCAAGAATCCATTGTGCTAGGTGCTGTACAAACACAGAAGAGAGTTTTGGTATTAATCTACAAATTTGACACTGTTTCCCTGGGCTTGAACAAAGATGTTAACTGGATGTCACATTATAAAGCCAGTCTCCCCTGCCTCTAAACTGCATTTTCACATCAAAAGCCAAGAATGGGACACTTGCAGCTCAATTAGCCTCATTAGCACTGGTCCTACAGTTGACAGGTACTCCCCTCCTCTTTTTCCCCCCCCCACCCCGTTCTCCATCTCATCATCTGATGAGCTTGCGTGAGCAAAATCCGCTTCATGATACTCTCTCTATATTTGTTAGTCTCTAAGATGCCACAGGACTACTCATTTTTGAAAGTTACAGAAGATAGTATTATTCTATTCCCATTCCCACAAAAGGAAGCTTATATTTTCTGGTAAGTTGCATTGATGAGGTGGCTAGCTTGCTAGAGGGGGAATGCTGATATTCTCCCAGGGAACACATTGGTGGGATTGTATTCTACCACTATTTTGTGTGTTGAACAAGTTACATTTCACAGACTTATTAAATGTGAGTACAGGGCAGTGTTATTACCTGCTCTCTTAAAATATATATGAAAAAATGTTATGCTTGATTGTAATCTTCGTGTGTGTTTGTATAGTTCCTGTCACAATGGGAACCTTGACCTTGATGGTGAATTTTGAGCACTACTACAATAAAAATAATGATATCTTCTTCATTGATCCTGTCCAGGTTAAAAAATTTTAAGACCAGCTAAAGTTGATTGATCTATCAGTATTCCTAAGAAAATAATTTAACTTTGAAGTCCTTGTGATAAATCCTTAACAAATAACTTTTTTTGAATGAAATCTAGAACTGCTTAGGTTTTCGTTGCATGCGTTTTGTGCAGTGTGATAAAAATTGCACTTTTATAAAAGGTGCTCTCTTTCTCTCACAGGTAAAGGCTTTTATAAAGACTCTGTGACCCGAAGCTTTGCCATCTCTCTCCACTACTAGTTCAGGATTTCTTATTTATTTGTGACCAGCTTTCACTTGGTTATGCTCCTGGCCATTAAAAGATAAAACAATCTGTGTCAAATTTGGAAGGCCAAAAGTATAATGGAGGTATTTTAGTGAATTACACTTGAATCCTGTGTTTCTCTTCCAAAACAAATGTTATTCTTCCAGGGAGGGAGAAGTCTTGTATAATCACCCATGAGCAACCTGACAATAGCCACCCATGTACATGGGTCTAATGGAAAGAAGATTAACTGTCTCAGAAAATTAATTTTCTGATCTTCCAAAGATCAATAGGGAGAAATGATTTTAGATGTTATGAAGAATCCCTTCCATTCATGCAACAGCTTAAGTATTTCAAATGTGCTTTCCTTTCATTGCTGAAGGAGATGTGCAGAAACTCTTCTATTCCATTACATGCTAAATGCAGCCATTGGTGAAAATGAGGGTGTTATAAAGAATTACAGGAAACAATGGTCCTGGTTCACCACTGCACCTGTACAAAGTGAATGTAATATGCTACCAAATCTATGTCAGCATTTCACACCCATTTTGCGCAAGTGGTATTTTTGTGTCAATAGAGAACAAAGACCCAACATATCCGTTTTTGGCTCTTCTAATACATTCTTCGTAGTAGAAGGCAAAGTCTTATTTAATGTTAAGCCAGCTTCTCTTATTAAGTTTGCAATTTACTTGGCGTATTTTTCTACATCTTGGGCCTAATAATGATTTACACTAGTATCGTCTCATAAGCTAGACAGCTGCTGGATCATTGAGCCTGTCCTGGATCATTGAGCCTGTCCTGGTAGAAAGAATATGGTATGCCATTTTGATATATTGTCTGAAAAGTTTTTAATAGTTTACATTTTAAAGTGAGTCTAATAATTTAGAATAGGGGACTGGAAATCAGGACCAGTTGGGTTCTATTATCACTCTCATCACTGTATTGGTCTCTTACTTCATGCAAGTTGTTATTTAGCTTCTTCAGCATTTATAAAATCCTCAAATGCCTTTCATCTGTACATATAATATGCAGAATGGATCCTGGTTTAATACTTTGCAAAAAGATAGTTGTTTGGCAAACTGTTCTTCCCTTACCTTTCAACCTGGCACCTTGGATGGGCTAACATTAGTGCAGTTTACCTGGAATATTAACTGGACATTGTGGAAGCTAAGAAGAGAAGAGAGAAAATAAGACGTGAATTTTAGTGGGAAGTTGGCTGCCTTGTAAGTCCCTTTTGAAAATCTCATCTGGAATGCTGCTGTGTCACAAATTTTGCTTTGTCTGTCTAGCTCCCGCTTTCCTCTGAGTAAAACCTTTCCTTGCTGAAACATAGCTGAATGTACAGGCAGTCCCCGGGTTATGTACAAGATAGGGACTGTAGGTTTGTTCTTAAGTTGAATCTGTATGTAAGTCGGAACTGGCGTCCAGATTCAGCCGCTGCTGAAACTGAACAGTTTCAACAGCGGCTGAATCTGGACACCAGTTCTGACTTACATACAGATTCAACTTAAGAACCCCAGGTGTCCCCAAGTCAGCTGCTGCTGAAACTGATCAGCGGCTGATTCCAGGAAGCCCGGGGCAGAGCAACTCTGCCTCGGGCTTCCTGTAGTCAGCGCTGGTCAGTTTCGGACACCTGGGGCAGAGCAGCTGCGGTGCTGCTGGGTTGCTCCAGTAGCGCTGCTCCTCGGCGCTACTGGACCAACCCAGCAGCACCCAAGCTGCTCTGCCCCAGGTGTCCTGATTCAGCCGCTGCTGAAACTGACCAGCAGTGGCTGAATCAGGATGGCTCGGGCAGAGGAGCCGGGGGGGCGGCCG